ATTCATAGAAACTTGTTAATCATCGACGGAAATAGTTGATGTTCCGGAACTTCTTCTTTTCCAGAAAGTGAGTGGTCCAGCGACTGAAAGAGGTGATAGTGAGCTGGCAACAAGTCAGTCTACGGAGGATGATCCAGAAACACTCAACCCAGTAGGGTTGCCTACCTTTTTGTCAATTTGACGACATGCAGTCGTACATCGTATTAAAGCAGAACGAGATTGCAACGACTTTCACGTGACAGGGCCCGACTGTAGCTGTTGGAGTGCTCACAGAAGCGCTTCACTTTGATTGTCTCTCCGCCTGAGAGCAATTCTTAAGAATCAATCCGGTATGGTCTCAAAAGAAGAGGAGCTTAGCTTCTGGCGCGAATTGATTTGAACGTGAATTAGGTGGAGTCCTTCAAATTGGTCTTGCCAATGCGACACTCAGCAAAGAACGAAAGCACTCTGCCTAGACACAAATCCTTGGGCCTTTGCACGGTTAGTGTGCTCGAAAGCGGTCTCTTCAACGCTTTCCAATTTGTACTCGTAGAGCAGTAAATTGCTGTTGAAGCTTCGCTGAGCGGTCACGATGCGGCTAGTAAGGCAAATGGTGCCAAAATAAAGCTCACAAAATTGCACGAAGCGGTACTGAGCTGTTGCCTTAGAGATGCGGAAATGTGTTCAGGCTAGTGGCGCATACTTTAATTAGTATTGTTAAGCAATTTCAATTACTTCTGGTTAGTGAATTTGGTGGTTACCGCTGTAATGTCAAAATTTATGAGAGGAGCTAATAGACTGAACATTTTATGTGATTCTAATGCATTGTTCTGTTTGTATTTGGACTTCGGAGTAGGTAAAGAGCAGTAAGGATTTTTATTCCCTTCAATCGCTTTTTTTAGTAGTGATATGACGTTGTAGCAACCGTTCCACGGAACGGTCGCTACTTCACTGAGCAATTGAGAGCGATCGTGGACAATACCATAGCAGAAACATCACTGCGGGACCCAGCCAATGGTCGCGCCGCCCGCTGCTGCGGAGCGGCAATCAGGGCCGCCCACTTCTGGCGGTCAGTCTCGTCTCGTGCAGGAGTCGTAATCGGTCGTGTCCTCTTGCCTTCCTCCGCCGCCTTTGTCCCTCTGGTTCTCCGCCTCTGCCCGACTCTACTCTTCTGACACTGCCCTCGTTGTTGTGTATGTGGCCCACCTAGTCATTGACCCCACTTATACTCTGTGAGCGGAGCTGGAAGCTACGGCGGTGGACCAAGCCTTTAGGTTTCTGTTTGGCCCTCCACCGGCGATGGGTCCAGCCCTTGCATACAGACCCACAGTTCTCCAATATATTTAATCACCCACTGGCCCCATCCTCGGTGTACTGGTCTGCTCGGGGTAAGCATAACTGCTCCCGAGGTCCACCGCCTAGTCCGGCCCCGCAGACATCTCATCCATCACAACATTATTGAAGTCATGGTTATATTTCGCCATTGCTGTCGTACTCTTGTTATGTCATTATTGTATATATGTGTATATATTTCAGGTTGTGTTTATATATTATCTGTAATAAATCTAGTATCTCACTCACGTCAGCCGTAACAGCCTTCAGTGGCAATCGATCATCACATTCAACTCTATACCAAATAAGTAAGGAGGTGAGCCATTAGATGATGACATCCTTCTAATTTTCAAATCTTTTTACATTTGTTTTATTGGTTGTTTTCTTTTCGTTTCTATTCCTGTTTGTCAGAGAATGGGCACTCGCTCAAAGTGATTGAAATGCTGCAATTTTTATGCTTCCACACTTTACTCAATTTCGCCAATCGAGTTAATTTTCATAGCTCCCTGTAACTCTGTGGATGTTTTAACATATAGTTCTTCTGTATCCAATGTTTATTGCCACAGCAGTTTGTTAAACCCTAAGAAGATAGGGTTTTATCAGAGTGGTTTCGTTGCGACTCGGCTTGCCCTTGTTGATTGAACGTAATCCAGATAGCTTTTTTTTCGAACTTTTATCACGTGATCTTATTTTGGATTTAATCAAGTCTCTAAGAGGTTATTTTCAAGTAACCTCCCACAAAATTAAGTAAACCTTACTATCTGTCACGGCTGAAATTTGAACTTTTTTCTTCACGCCGAATTTTCTTACACAGCACTTTTTTCTTTCAGTTTTTTTTTGCATGAATTGAGGCATTTGCACAGATTTGCTTAATAATAGCAGCGTTGACATTATTCTTCATACTTCGTTTTTGTCTTTCTGGGATGCTGAAATACTCGAGGATTGTATGGATAAATCTCCAGATATTTTGCGCCGAGAATTTGAAGCATATATGCAGGAATGATTTTTGGCAGAAAAATACTCTGGGTGGCTAAGTGATTCTTTCCATCATTTCATTACTACGCTTATTTTCTCGTGTTTGTGCGGATACCAGCAATTTTTGCATTTGATTTGTTTCCACACAATAATGCTCCACAAAGATCTTCGAATGTTCCACGCGTCACTCTGACTCCTGCGTGAGGATTTCGTCTTCGAATAAACTTCATAGAAAAGGGAATCGAGACATTTTCCTTGCAATCTTGGAAATAACCGAGTCAAGGCGTTCGATAATTGACCTCTCGAGGCCGTGGACCCACGGCATTTGCGTAGCTAATTGGCAACTTTGGATGTCTGCTCCGCTTTCTCTGCGTCTCTCAGCACGCCATTGTTAGACGCAGCTCGCTGGTGGTTAGAGATTCATAAGGGGTAGAGCAGGCCGTCCGGAGTTATCAGCTAGAGGTGCAGAGGTCGTGGGTCCACGGTCGTGAAAGTGATAATTGAAAGAAAAAACAAGGAAAGAAATCGAGATAGTGTCTTGCTTATCACCTCAATTCTTGATGCACAGTATCACTGACCATTATGTTGCCTCCCATCACTACATTTATGATGCCTATATGCATATATGTGCATGCAATATGTATACACTTTACCCTTTTTGCTATGTCTTCTCCTATAAGGGCAGTTCATTTCCTTGTATTATATGGTGATCAGGGCCCATGTTGCGCAGTGTTGAGAGATGATCAGTGTGGCACGCGTGTCGATGGTTTGATCCCGCGCTCATCACGTGCCAAGTCTTACATCCATCGGGAGTCGGTGAATTGTTGATAGACTTTTCTGGAAGATAAGTGGCCTGGCTTACATACAAAGGTACACCACCGCGAGTCATTTCAAAGACCACACATGCATTTAGTTACCTCAAACAAGGCTGGAAATTGAACGCGAACACATGGCCCATCTCTGAGGAGTTGATCAGTGCCAAGAGCTTTGTCCTTTTATATGGTAACCTGCGCACATATCTTGATGGGTTCGTCGACTGCACTGTCGCTGCAGCGCTGCATAAATTGTCGGTGTGGTACACTGTGGTGTGGGATGTTATCAAAGTTCTAATCCTCAATATTCACTGCGTGATTTTGGAATGCAGCCGAGAATGTTTTATCTTCTGAGGCAAAATTTTTCTCAAAACTGTAGCATTCTCAGTTGTTTGCTCAATAATCAAAGAGTTAGAAAAATGTTGGAGTGATTTGTAAAAAAAAAAAAAAAACAGCGCAGTGGTTAGAGGTGCTCTGCGACACATGATCGATCAGTCGATGGTCGTTGGTTCTTTCTGCGTCTTGAGCCCATCAGATCCTCCGTTCTCCGCAGTTGGCGAATCGATACCAAACTTGTCTACGAGGATAGTAGCACTAATTTGAAACATCGGTAATCCACGAGCTGTCATTGTAAAGGCCAAACTTGTGCATTTAAATCACCTCAAGCAGGTTTTGATGAGGTCGAATGGATGGGCGTCCCTCAGAGACTAATCAACACTAAAAGCTTTATTCTTTTTTTCAACCTTTGATTTCGTAAAGAGTTATTGTGGCGAGTGACCCCAATAACTAAAACACGTCATGGCTATACTGACCAAGTAGCTAAAATCAAGATATGCCAAGAATTAGTCAGAGTTTTTCAGGAGTCATATCAGGCATCGTTCACCATAAGAATTCGAAAGACCGATCTTCACTAAATCTTGGCATAAGCGCCATAAATTTCTTAACAACTGTCCTTGTATGAATGTTTTGTGATTCCTCGAATTTCTTTCTGTTTAGTGATTCTTCGAAGTGTTATGATGTTCCAAATACACTAGAGAACTGAGTGGTGAGAAAATATCGGTGCTTGTCCATTATGATGCGACAAATAGAAAACTGATATCAATCGCTAGAAATGAACTTTTCGTGGGAGTATTAGTAGTCATTCGAAAGCTTAAATTTCTGGCTACAGCCCCACAAAACCGGTTTACGAAAAACTCTTTTATAACGCTGTAAAATTCACACAAAACAATGCCTCAGATGCGCATAATCCTCGCTTGATAGAGCTCTTTACTTGTACTATCAGAAATCATTCGATATCGTGGTGTTTGGCGATTCCAGTGCTTTGCTTATTTTCTGGAAAGACTGTCTCTCTGCAATGCAACAAGAGAGATAACTTTAATTTACATTTGTGAGCAAGAGGGTTTTTAACCAATTCAGGTGCCGGTGGGCGAGGCGACCACGTAAAGTGACGCAATGATCATCGATTTTCGAGCATGTGAGCGTGTAGAGGAGTACCGCGTTAGCAGTTCACGTGGTCACCTCACCCATCGGCACGTGAATTGACCAAAAACCCTACCCTTTTTCTTCGGTGACGTGTATTCGATTTATTTTCCCTGTTGCACTACAGGGATACGGTCTTTCCAGGAAATAAGCGCAGCGTTGGAATCAACAACGATCACACTGTTAAATAATCACTAGTACACTGAAGAAAAAGTCCGGCGAGAAATATGCGCGTTTGCAACGCAAGGAATTTATTTCGTTCTGTAACAGCGTCAAAAAAGGTATTTGAAACCGACTTCGCAAGGCTCTAACGAAAACTCTAAGCTTTCCAATGATCACTAGCACTCTTATAAAGAGTTCCTGTCTTCAAATGATATCAATTTTTCATTTATCGCCTCTTAATAGACAAGTACTCAGAAATCCGGCCTCAGACGGGAGTTGAACCCTTGTTTTCATACCAGGGCGTGGTGTGCTACCCACTGCATTACAGAGGCCACCACTTATTCAAAGTTTATTCCAGAAAAAAGACTATATGGTTTAACTGTTTTAGATTTTCGACTATGATACTGTCGACCACGGTATGACCTTGGACGACTGTGATGACATTCGTGCTCGAGATATGGAAGAAAATTGGTTTGACGACGACGATGGTGAAGACTGATTAGTCATTGCTCGTCTTTCCTCAGATTTCAGTGCTCTCATTGTGATTAGTGATTTTGCATAAATTGGTTGCCTGTATAGTGCAGTTAATTTCTTTATTGTCTTGAAACGGTTTCGCGTCCGATTATGTTTCGTCATTAATGCACTCGATTATTATTGTAATTTTACATAGCTTTCTCGCAGGACACAGTCTTGGGTGAGGATACGATGATGACGAAGCCAATCGAAGTCCGATGGTATTACCACGGCCCTGACAATAGGATATATGGTGGGTTTGTTGATCCGGATGCTTTTTCAGGATAGGTGTCCTAGAGAATGATTTATACTTCTTTGTATTCGTGTTAACCCTTTCGTAAACATGAACCCGACCCTCTGCGTCTCAGACTCCAACGTGTTGCGTCGAACGATGGCGTCCAACCTCAGCGGGCCATTGACAGACGCAAAATTATCTGTATTAGGGAGCGGAGGGTTGGGTCCATGGTTCCTAAAGAGTTAAATAGGAGATGAGGTTTTTTGTGACTACATAAAGTGCTTCTTTTCTGTATATGTGCGTATCCAAGTACTTCTAGCATTGAATTCGTCTCTTCGCGTTTATCGCTTGACTGAGGATTTATCGTTTTCATGTACATCATAAATTGCTGGTTAACCATGTCTTCCTTAATTCTCGAAAAAAGTCAAGCTGTGATGTTTTAAGGGTGTTCGTGGATTCACTGTTGGTAAACGTTGAAGGATAAACCGTTCACCCTGCATTAATAGCCTCTTAGCAACTACCTCCAAGGCACAACTACACAAATTAGTGCATATTAGATTTTATGCGAATTATATCCATAGAAGAAATACTTGGCGTACTTTGAATATACCGAAATATTAGGTTATGTGTACCTTATCTTCCAGTTATGTCGTATTCATGAAGCCTTTAATTCTAGGATGGTACCTGAGGCATTTTCATTGTTTCGTTCAAATTTCACCTCACCTCCTTAGTGTTCCTATAATGCACTGGTTAGCTGACCTGCGACACACACGTAAGGTCGATGGTTCGACGCCCAAGGCTCACCAGGCCTTCCAATGCTCAGGATCGGCCGATTGGTACCAGACTTGTGTGAAAGGATAGCAATACTTATTTACTACATCAATAATTTACCGCAATCACATTGTAAAAGTCATATGTGCATTTGTTCACCTTAAACGATGCTTGGCAATGTCGAATACATGGCGCATCCTTCAGGGATTCATCAACGCCAGAACATTTTATCCTACTCTTAAGTTTATAGGCATGGATTCAGTTTTATATCTTCTCTTCTCTCAGGAATTATAGATTGACCATGAAGTGAACCTGTAGCCCATTGGAGTGCAAAATTGTTGCGATTGAAGAAAAAAAGTCTCCAATGTTGAAGTTGAGAACGTCATGTTCGGCTAAATCTCAGATCCTTATTTATCATTTATGAGAGTAAAACGAGATTTCTATAATGCAATTTATTTTGGCAGCTAACATTTCGGCGGTTTCGCCTTCTCCAAAGCCTAAAAAGAACCAGATTGCCTAAAATCCAGCCAGCCAACCACTTCCATCACTTCATGCAAAAAAATCATCAAGTCTAAATTGCAATTACATCAAATACACAGCAACTTTTGATATGCTCACTGCTTTTCTTGGGCCATTTGTTGGGTTGTTCAAGTGGAGACCAACCGTGCAGAGATCATATGAGCTGCTAATGCATCTCCCTCATCAGAATGATGGTCCAGTACACCGTACCATATCATATGTGATTACGAGACATTCCTCTCTAGCGGTTCATGTTTGGATTGGTAAAGTTTATGCGGAGCGCTTCTAAACTCCTCTTCGCTGAGGTCTTACGTTCCTGGGAGATGATGGAACGTTCTGTCTTAATGTTTTTGCAGTGTTCTGCGTGCAATGCTACATGAATATCTTATTGTATCGAATCACGTCGTATTCCCTTCTCAGGTCCGTTTGCCCCAAAAGATATGATGATGTGGACTCAATCTGGGTACTTTAGCGACAGTCTTCTTATAAGAACCGAGTATGAGGAGTGTTTTCATACTTTGGGAGAGTGGACTCGTGTATGCGGTGGCAAGGTAAGTCCTTCTATTTTCTTTGAGTGTCAAGTCGCTATGATCCGGTAGATCGAAGGAACATCCTATAAAGACGACCAGTGATTCTAAGGAGTCTTACCTGGGAATTCTGGCTGCTGAATTAAAATCAGTTTTGATTCTCCATTTCCTTCTTTTAAGTCTAGTAGCTGTGGGTAGATTGTGAAGTTTTTGCGGGTATCGGAAGAAAAATCAAATCATAAGTGTGTTGGAGGGGTCTCCTACGTCTTTTGTTGTCCTCTCAATTGAATAACATTCTATCCTATGCTAGTCATGTACTGAAGCTGAAAACTAATAACATTTACCATCAAAGATGTTTCAATGAAAACACGTAATCGTTGTCTACAGGTACCCTTCTTACTGCCAGTAATATCAATGAATAACTTAGTTGGGCAAATGGTTCCTCGTTTGAATCCAGTTATGATGGGAATGCTTCCACGTGGTCTTCCATCGACATTCCCTCCTCCACTGCGTGGCAGGTAATCCATTTATTTGTTTTTATTATTCCTAATCTTATCCTGTTGAGAAATGCACACATTCTATCAAAGATTTACCCGTTTCGTTCCTGGGATGCCTCTTCCACAACATCATCAACCACCCATTTTCCACAGTTTGCCACCATCACACCTATTGGATGTGGCAAGTAGTGTCTCTCAGACACCCGACAGCGAACAAGAGGTAAGCGATGATCTGGTAGATTTTGTTTATAGTCTCGATTTAGTGATGTTACTGTTGTTATTAATCTATCGCTGTAATTGATCACTACTATATCTATTTCTGTCATTCGAAGTTGTTAAACTACTTATTGTTTAATTTTACATCACTCGTCATCACAATCCTCTCTGAGGACTCAAACACTTTTTGCATTCCATTCGTATCCTCACATTCATCCTTTGCGAAGATCTTTAGATATTTCATGTCTTGCTTCGGATGCTGCTTGAGAATTTCATTTTGTTCATGCGTGTCATGGAGTGATGGTCGGACAAATCTCCTTGCAACCTGGAGATAGTCGAACTAAGGCGTTCGCTGATTGTTTGCAATAGAGCTTTTGCGGACAAGGATCAAACCAGCGTATCGCTTATCATCTCACTTTTTGATACACTTCGACAGTAACTACTGTGCTAGTGTGCCCCTATCTGGATTTATTGCTACTATTTATTATCGTTTCTGTAACGTTCATGTTAGTCGAGTTCGTTAGTTGTTTATGCAGCATTTTAGTGGTCCTAGTTATCATGTAAAGAATTGAAGATATTCGTAGTGAGTCCTCCCTCCCATCCTCCTTTCTTCTCTTCTTTTTCTCTTATATCTCTTTTTATTAATGGTTTTACCAATGGTCATGTCAGAAAAAGAGAGAGAAAGAAGTCATTTTTGGGCATTCACTGAAATTGTAACAATACGGATTCGTATTAAGGTTTACAATGAGAGTAATGGAATATCGAGCCATCGTTATACGGCTGTGTCAATGATGAAACCTCCAGAGATGGTGTCGGTGGCCAACGGAACTGGTAGTCCTATGTTTCGCGAAGTGGCTTGTCAAACTACTCCACTCATTGTAAGGTTTTTTCTTCTCGTTTCTATATTGCTGTAAAAGTCAAACTAGTTTGTAGCTATGCTTTTTTCTTGGGTGAATTCTAGTACGAAAAAAACTGTCGTTGATTCAGTTCTCTCGTTATTTTAAATGTGAAATTTATGGTGGGCTTAGCCATCAAATGGTTTATGTCCGACATAATCTCCATTTTCCTTGTTGATTGACCCTTTAATGGGCATGAGAATGCTTCTCACCACGCGACGTCAAATCTCACTCAGGTACTGTGATGACGACTTTGCGTCTCGTTGAAAAGCGACGGCGTGACGCCGCCTGCCTATCAACGCTGGTACTTAAAAGATTAAGCCTGTGGCATGAGGTTGTTAATAAAAATTTTCAACCAGCTGACGTTTAGGCGCGCTTCGTCTTTCTAGTGTTGATGGTCTGAGTCGATCGTCCACTGTCGCGTGTATTTATTGTGCAGCTTTGCTTTCGTTTTATTCGAGTCAAACCTTCTTCGCTGGAGCTTTGCTTAAATGTGGAACCTCTCTCGGCAAATTCCTATTTCATCACTAACTAATTAGCGTGGCAAATCACTGCTATCGATTTATTAGCTAATTAGCACACGCTTCGTCCTGTATAACAAGAGTCTGTCGAGTGACAGTTTCCATTCGAGCGCTGCTCCCGAAGGAAATTCGACGCGAACAAAACGAAGGTAAAGATCCACAATAGGTACAAACGATATTGAACGATAGACGTGTCATCGGCTCCGAAGATGAGGAAGCGCTTCAAAGCATTAGCCGTATGGAAAATTCTCATCGACAACCTCGTGCCAAGAGCTTTATCAACAAAGAAAATGTTATTGATTGTCATGCCGATTAAGGAGGAATCTGTTTACAATTTAAATTCTATTGTTTTAGACAGTTTTTCAGGTAGCTGCAAGGGATGCAGCACGTATCCTTTCGGAATTGCTCAATCAGGTGGTCCATGTTACGTGAGCCACATGCCTATCATATGCAATTCGGGGCATTTACTCTTTTGTTAAGACGTCCATTTTCTCTACAACCACTGCTTTTCCTCTGAGGTGTTTTTATTATGTTGATTTTGGCGTGTTATGATTCTTGATCCGCAAGATTTTCGACGTTCTTTTAACTCTCAACAAATAACTAAAGTCTTACCAATGCGTACTATTTGCTTTATTCG